GCAGCACAAAGCAGGCTCAGGACTAAAGGACACCCACCACTGATGGAGGAATCTTCGAGTCTTTCTCCCTCTGAGTTCTCAACCAATTTGCAATGTAACCAGCATAGTTAAAAGCACTTTGAGACTTGAACACTACAAAGGTTATTATCTACAGAGAATGACAGCTTATGTTAACAAACAAGCAAGTGAAAAACAGATTCGGGGCTTAACAAAAATACATCACTAATTATTTTTTTTCTTTAAACAAAGCCAGGCCCATTCTCTGGAAAACTAAACCACTCTGAAACAGAGCCCTCCCCAGGGAAGAGACGATCTTTATTCTTACCATCAACTGCTCTACATCTGGAGACTAGCTCCCACAACACCAGTCCCATTGCATACATGTCTATTCTCAGGAAGGCGTCTCGTTGGAAGTTGATTGCTCCCTCTAACACTTCGGGAGCCATATACCTCCTTGTTCCCACCTATAGAGAAAAAACACAACTTAGGTTACATTCCAGTTGGGCCCATCAGCCTCCACTGGTTGGAGATGCACTCATTAGATGAGTGCTGGTTTCATTAGCCTTAAGGCTACTTCTGCTGAAGTTGCACCTCGCTCGAAAAACAAGTAAAAAGGGACCTGTTTTTTCTGACACGGATTCTCATTAAGATCACTTGAGTCTAGATAAGCTACCTGAAGGAAAAAGCCAAAGTGCATGGCTACGTGTGTGATATTCATTCAGCATATGCTACAGGTCTAATTTAAATGCAGCGTGAGCGTGGCACGGTGAGTATGGATGAAATCCTGCCTTCCCTGCATCCCACCGCATCTTGGTCCAGCAGCATATGCTGCATGAAAAAATGCTGTCTTTGGAGACACACAAAACACCCTGAGGTCAAGTCAGACTTGGTTATCATAGTGGTTGAAAGTTCAATCCCCTTTCACTAAAAAAAAATTAAACATATAAAGAAAAAAGAGAAGAGTAAAATTGATATATCCTGAAATGGTAGGAAAAGATGTTGGTTTGACAGCCCTGGATAAAAAAGACTCCTGCATCCACAGGAGTAGTAAAGCATGAACCCTGCAAAGTCTACCCTGCCCTGGCTTGCTGTGATCTGTTTGGAAAAGATCCCCTCTCACTTTGAGGGGATTCAGTCCTCATTATAATGCCTATCTTGTGTTTAGTCCAGGCAGAGACATAACGAGCTCTTCATGTGCTTGTGGTTAAATACGTGGCAGAATTATAACCCATAATGTAGGAGAGCAGAGAAAGGAACAAAACCCTACCTTTTTAACATGGGAACTGAAATGCCTTTAATATTTTCCTTTAAGAAATTCTCATCTGTTCTTGCTGTTACCTGGGGCACTGAGTACGGGGGAAGTCAGCACGTGAAAAGGTGTGGAAAATACTGGAAAAGCCCAAAAGAAGAGGGCAAAAATGAGGAAAGCTGGGGGTGGGGGCTAACCCAGCAAAGTGTTTGCTCCTTCTGAGATAAAGGTAAAAAGGGAGCCCGTACTGGAGACAAGCATTCAAAAAACCCTAGAGGCACACGGAGGGGATGCTGGCCTTGCTGTGCCCTGGCACGAGAGCAGAACAAGGGGCCGCTCACCACAACGCAAAGCCAGAAAATTAAGCACTCATAAAAACATAGTAAATTGTTTACGCAGCACACAGCCAGCTTGCAAGATCTGCTGTTGCTAAAGGTCACCCAAGCAGCCAGCCCCGCTGAATTCCTAAAAATAAATGAATAATTTTAGGAGTATTAATATTTAATACCAAGACAATAAAGAGTCAACAAGTCCTGTGTTTGAAGGAAGAAGCCCCCTGCCCCCGGGGCCGGGGGGGACTCCACCCGCACAGCGGCTGGGAGGGGCTGAGCACTCTCCCCACTCACGCAGATCAAAGCAGCTCCTAGAATTTATGTCTGAGCACAAGCTTTTATGGAAAATACATATCTCGAAGAGAATTAAATGCATCTATACAAACTATCCCCTACTCCTGAGGAGATAATGGCAAGCCTAACTTTTTAAAATGTTATTGTTAAAGATAATGATTACCTGTCCATGAGTGTCCCCTGGGGGTTTCCCCACTCACGCAGATCAAAGCAGCTCCTAGAATTTATGTCTGAGCACAAGCTTTTATGGAAAATACATATCTCGAAGAGAATTAAATGCATCTATACAAACTATCCCCTACTCCTGAGGAGATAATGGCAAGCCTAACTTTTTAAAATGTTATTGTTAAAGATAATGATTACCTGTCCATGAGTGTCCCCTGGGGGTTTTCCAGGTTCAAACCGTACAGCTAGTCCAAAATCGGCTAGCACTGCCGTCAAGTCATTCTTCAGCAAGACATTTTTACTCTTGAAGTCCCTACGGACAAGCCAAGAAGCAAGTTTGGGAAGAGTTTATTATGGCACGCGTCTAAATCACATTGCAACACACCACTTTGTAAGTCTATAGGTTTAGCAGCCCCCAGTAAATCAGCTCCTTCCTTCCTTCCCCGGCTGCCCGGCACGGCCAGCACTGGCAAATTCAGCTGCTCCTCGCTGCCTATGTCCCTAAACCACAACCAAGCAGCCCTGTGCTGCCCGGCACAGAGTCAGCCAAACTCTACAGTGAATTAACCTCAAAATAAAGGCAGAGAGTGATATGAAGGGAGTGTTTTAATTAGAGCAGGCAGTATAAGGCACCATTTTTTGCTCTGAGCCCCAGCTGTGGACCCCCGTCTCTGGGGACTTCTTACATTTCTCACTCCCAATTACAAAAGCAAGACAGGTTAAGGGGGTGCATTGACTCTTTATCCTAGTAAGGATGTTTGCTCCTATCTACAAAATTAGATCTTCCTGGAAATCAGCAGATGCTGGTGGGACTCTCTTCACCCTGACGACACGCTTCAACAGACTTTTGCCATAGTCATCTATTACACTTATGCTTTAATTGCTGGATTGATCTTCCCCAGAGAATTCGGAAGGTTGGAAAGCAAGCAGGGAAGGGGGTGAGCCCACACTCAGACAAGCTGTCAGGATCGGACTGGGCAGCTGACGGGCAGGTGTAAGCATTTGCAATAGAGATGGTGGGTCTGTGCTTGAAGGTGGCTTTACGGGGACATTTGTGTCAGTCCTGTGCTGCAGCAGGATCGTTTCAGGGCAGCTCAGGTAAATCTGCAGGGGCTGGAAAGGGGGGGTAGGGGGGTGGAGGAGGGTCACACCGAGATGCCTAACCAGTCAAGCCCTGTTCCCTGGGCTTCCTGCATTTTCATCTGAAAAGGAATATTTGGCAATCTAATTAAATTACAGACCTTAGACAGCAGATGGCAATTGTCCTGTATGCTCAGCATTATAATTTCCCTACCATCAATTCACTCAGTGACCCTGCTGATTGCAGGACATTGCAGGCCTGCACAAAATAATTAATGAGGGCAGATACAATTGTTCCGCACTAGAGGGACCTGTCAAAATTCTTTGGGAAGAGAGAAACTGCTGGACCATAGAGAAGGGCTGCTCGCTGCAGCTTTGGATTCCAGAGCACCATCTCAAAGCACCATGAGCAAAAATCATCCTGTACTACCCAGGCCCTGATTCTGAGCTTAAAAAATCAGAAGAAAGGATTTTCTAAGCTAAACACAGCATAATGGGCATTTCTGGCTCAAGTGTTAAGATGGGAGAAGTGAGTGTGGAGTTGGAGAGCATCATACAGCCAGGGAAGCCCAGCAGAAACCAAACCAGCCTCCATCACCTCAAGGGGTCACACAGGGTTTCCAGGGACACAGCATAATTTTGCAGAACCTGCAAAACATTTGTACCCCTCCGTTACACAGAAAAACACCACTGACCTAATACCTGTTGTCTTAGAGACTGACTGCTTCTATGCTATAGCAGTTTCCCCACAGGCTTAGAAAACAGCCATCATCTAATGACACAGATAAACTCCTTTGCTCAGTCAGCATTAGGGGATTATGCCCTCCAGGATGGTACAGATTGTGCACAAGATTTTTGCAAAACAGTGGCTCAACAAGGACCACACAGAAATTATTAGACAAGTCTGCCTGAACAATATGTTTCCAAAGCGAAGCGAGATGTAAACCAGTATTACTGTACAGGCATTTGCTGCTGTTCACCCGCACTGCCCTTTGAGCATGCAACAATTAACTACTACATCTTGATACATCATGCAGGGATTTCCCTTTGTGCTTCTTTCTGCCTCCCCCATTTCCATACATTTCCCAATTTTTCCATGCTTTCCTTCCTTCCACAAACCACCTTGAACTGGCAAGTGTAAGCTGCTATGCAAACATAACCAGGACAGGGAGAAAGACCTAATCCAAGCCACGCCAAGCAGAATTCCCGCTAACACCGTACGCACTAGACCATCCTAAAACGGTCACTCATAAAGGAAAGCGGCCTGAAAAGAAGAAAATATCTTTTTCTGTATAATGCTTCAAGCTAGGGAACAAGGGAGCGATTGGGCTATGAATGATGGGTGCGTTAACTCGATTCAGACACTGGAGATTTTATTTTCAGTTTCCACGTGGGGGCACTTTCACACCAACAAGAGATCCCACAACTTTAATCCTCCTTGTAGTGCTGGGGGCCGGTGAGGAGTCAGCTGAACCCCTGCCCAGCAGACTTGGGGAGTCCCATCCGGCAACCCCAGCATCTTGGCATCCATTGTGTGAAGGCATTGAAAAAATACATCCTTCCCTCCCCCTCCTTTAAAACGTATTTAGTGTTTTCTTTTAAAACAAAAATAAAACTAAAAGGAGTGGGCTAATCCAAGGGAAATCCCCTTTGTCCTGAAATCCCTTTTCCGTAGGTATGTGCTAAATTCACACAAATGGTGCATTCTTCATCTTTTATCATTTGCTAAATGGATGGGGACACTAATGAGCACGATCTGTTGCTTTAAAGCCTTTCTATAGCCTTTCTCTGTTCCCCACCCTCAGGAATTTTCCTGTATAAACCACTGCCTTTATTCCACAGGGACAAATGTCAGGGACACAGGGGTCAGCTCCAGGAGCAGCACAAAGGCAGCTTCAGGCTCTTTCAACAGCCCCCAGCTCTCAGAAACCTTCAAGTTTGGGGAGGGGGTTGTTTTGGGGGTAGGGACACCCTTGCAAAAACAGGGATTATTTTGCCGTACATAAAGACAGCCCTGCTAGATCAGGTACAAATTGCTGCAGCTGGATGTGGGGTATTAAGTCCCTCCTAGATGAAATGTGGTGGGTGCTGGGGGAGTATGGCTGCAGATTACAGCATGTAGTCCACGTAAATCCCTTCTGGAAAACTCTCCCCTCCTGCCATGCCACTAGCAAACCGCTTGGTAGAGATGCTTTAGTCCAGGGCAAGCAGTGTAGGACTTTAGAGAAGGGCTAAAAAAAGTTATCATTGCAATGAGGCGGGTTTAACCCACTGATTTCTGGATTCTAACTGTCCCCACCTGCCACCCAGGTGGGTTGAAGTGTGTGCCAAGAGGCCTCAGAGGCACCATGGTGCCTGCTCGGATGTCTCCCGTAAGTACCCTGGCACGATTTGGGCACTATAAAACTACAGTGAAAAATAAACAGCAGCCATTTTCTGCATTTCTACAGTTTCTCCATTTCTTACCTAATGATGAAAAGCTGTATGAGAGGACACGCAGGGGAGTTATCAGCCTACAACACTTAGGGAAAAAAAGGGTCCAATTCTTGGTACGGCCACAGAAATACACAGATTGTAATGTGAACTATCAAGCACAGTCCTTTCAAAGAGCAGTTCTGCAGCAACCAGAGTTCTCCTCCCACTACATGTCAGGAGAAGAGCTGATGGAAGAGGGAAGCACCTACCCTACAGACATTTGCCATAAACCACTACCAACCATAATGACTGTTTCATGGACAAGACACTTACTTGCCCTTCACCATTTCATATGTGGCTGAAAAAAATTCTTGTCTTAGCACAGGATTTTTTGGGTTAAAAGGCATTTACTTCATAAAAGCACAATCTCCTCCTCCATTCAACAGCATCATTTCAAAGAGGTTGCAAACGTTTGAACGCAGCACTTGAGTGGTGTCAATGAAAGAGGCCATACCTGTGTGCTATAGCAGGTTTGTGTCCTTCACCTTTGCACCAAGGGACATCTTCATGAAGGTAGGACAAGCCACGGGCCATTGTTTCTGCAACATGGCAGAGCTCATTCCAGCTGATAATATTGCCCTTCAGGTAATCGGTCAGAGAGCCCTGCGAAACAGGACATCGTATGTTCTTAATTGCAGGCCCTGCTACGTGACAGATGTGCCAACTCATCAGTTTAGAAAATGGTTTTAATGAGTGCTTGAGAAATTTGAACCTTGATTTAACAGGGGGAATAAAATCACTAGTGAAAGTAAAAAAGAGGAAGAAATAAAAACCAGAAACATTTGTGAATCCTCAGTCTTTGACAGCACAGAAAGTATCTGGATGTCTAGAAGGAGTCTACTAATCTGCCAGGGAAGGAGAGGGAGGTAAGGGATAAAATCTCAAAATAGAGCAATTCATCTAACCTAAGAAGGGGGAAAGCTTTCCATGCAAGCAGATCATGCATCGTATCAGCTGGTTGTGGCAATGATTGACTCAGTAGACCTTGGATTAAACAGAGGGATAACACTGCTGGCTCAACCCCGGATTTGCACGTGTTTGTTTTAATTGTTAGTCATATTTGATAACTAAAGCAATCCATGAAATGGGAGATATGCCCCAAGCTTCAAAAGCAAACACAAAGCCCATCTGCAAGGGGTGAGCTGGGACTGCAATGGTCTGCGACATCCAGCTCCCACACGTTCATCTAAGCACATTAAGAGATGGTGACCAACACATATGTGAGCTGTGGCTTTTTGTGCCTCTTTCTCTGCCCGGGTCCCACCTTATTAATCCTATGTTTGTGTGGGAAAGTCTTGAAAGCTAAAGGAAGGGCCTTTGAAGGAGGGGAGCAGGAGCACTTCTCCGCTACCACTGAGCCATGGCTCACTAGGGACAGCCTGGATAGATTACAGGGGAGCTTCTGGGAGAATATTAGACACCAAATCCTGCTGTTTCACAACCAGCCACCCCTCTGCCTTCCCAAAATGTACGTGCAATGATACGTTACCTTGTCGTGGAAAGCTGTGATCAGCCAGAGCTCTGTCTCTAGGTTTGTCCCTCTTTTCTCTGCTGCGATAAATTGCAAAAGGTTTTCATGCTTCATGCCAGGAGTATTGAAAATCTCCCTCTCGCTCTGCCAAGATTGCTTATCCTAAAGCAGGGAGAAACGCACCATCAAAGATCACGCTTCCCTTTAAAGCAAACAGCTCCTTCAGCTCAGTCAGAGCTGCTCACAGTCCTCTTAATATCTTCCTCCGGCATTTGGATGTGATGTAGCCCTTCAAAATGAGGCTGTTTTCCTAAAGGGTAGTTGCTGTTCTCGGTTTCCCTTCTCCAAAATTATCGTCAGCTATTCCTAAAGCACATGTGTGGGGAGGGGGGAGGAATGCAAACTCAACCTCCCTGAGAAATAAGATTTGTCAAGATTTCCTAAGGATGCTTGCAAGAATAAAGCCTGCACATACAGCACCCAGATCTGCATCGTAGCTGTAATTGTTACAATTGCAAAATCTAGGCTCTACTGAATATTTACTAGTAGGGCACAGCTGGCTTGGACAGAAGATGTGCAAATCTCCTTTAGCAACGCTATGACAACAAATACGAGGTGAAAAATCAACGAAGAAGGAGATAGCGGAGGAGCACAAAGATATTTCAGTCATTTTTCTTTCATTTGACTTTGGCCTGCTTTACTCTTTCCATCTGCAATTCCTAGAGAGTCAAGACAGAAGCGTTCAAAGGTTTCCTAGAGCGGAAGACGTGAGCTGACAGAAACGCTGCAGTGCAATTAGCTTTCACAGCACCAGGGCTGTGCCTTTGTAAGCTGTAAACTGTTTGCTAGGTTCGGATCTGGATTTACAATCCACCCAGGCAGGACACACAAAGCCGGGGCTTTGGTCCTTTGTGTGCACTAGGGGCACGGCAGCTGCTCGCTGCCTTGCTGGACTTTAACAACACGGACATTCGTAGTGAAGTTAAAATACTCTGTAGATTTCAAAATGGGCTTGGTTTTGCCCTTCTTGCAACAACTACTACTACAGGAAGCATTTGGCAATGGGATAACACAGAGAAAAGCGTAGGAAGGGAGGGTCCTTGAATTTTTTCCCCCAGCAGAAGAGTCCAAATGTATCTTTGTTATGGTCTTAAAAACCATGACCTCCACAGGCACTTAGAGCATCTCAGGGCCGGTGAGGAAGCCTAGCGAGTGAGAACCTAATGCAATGCCCTTCTCACCTGAATAGGGAAGATTTTCACTGCTACGTAGTCATTCATCAGCTGAGCCTTCCACACACAGCCGAAGCGTCCCCTCGCCTTGATCTCCAAGAGCTGCAGAGGCTTTAGGCCAACCAGGGGAGAAGGGGGTGGTGGGCCGGGGTCCTGCACGAGAGAAAAACATTGTCACCAGCTGAAGCTGGACTGTGAAACAAAGAAAAGGGAGGAATGGAGAGATCGCATATGGGAAAAGAGGGCTAAAGAAGTAACATTTTATTTAATACAAATTATTTCAATGTACTGTTTGCATCAAGAGCAGCCCGAAACTCCCTATTTTGCTTTGTAGAGTATTTGTATAGAACATATATAACAATCTATGCCTCCAAGTGTCACTTTGTGTGTCAAACTACTGCCTGTCATCCTCTGGCAAAACCTGAATTCTCCTATGTTTTCAAAGCAAGAGCTATTTTGGGCTGTAAAACACCGATGACCTCAAGGCTACCTCCTGCCAAAAGAAGGAACTTTTTGATCTTTGTGACCCAACAGCGAACTACACCTAAAACCTCCCACTGCTTTGCAATTCATTAGGCGTGTTTCACATAACCCCAGCAATGGGCAGTAAACAGGTCTGTCAGCATCATAAAGATCGTATCTGTTTAAACTCTGCATTTGTGCAGGAGAACAACGCAAACCCGCAGGACGCGTGGGGTTGGAGCTCTGTCCTATCTGCTTTCAGATGGGAGAGGTTCACACTATGGGCTGTAATGGGCACAGGAGGGAGGCAGAGGTTGCTGCTCGGCCCTTCAGAAGAAACCAGAAGGCTCAGGGCACAGCAGAGCCAGCAAGGACCAGTTCCCGATGGCTTTGGGCCATAAGGATGACCTTCTGCATGCATTCTCTGATGGCTCATGAAAACTGAGCTTCAACAGGGAAAGCATCTCCCCTCACCCCATAAAGCTGGTAGGAACTTTATCATCTCTCTGATCTCTGCTCCTCTGCAAAGCTGGCTGAAATCAGGCAATGGCTTTGAGAGTTTGGGGGGAAGGGTAGCCACCAAGCAAGGCTGCGTAACTCCATCCCTTAGGAATCTTGGACATGGTGATAACCCCGTCTAAACCCATCAGCCTCACAGGGGGCACTAACACCACCACAGAAGCCAACTGTACCACCAACTTCAAAAAGAGAGAAGTTAAGCTACCTGAAAAGAGTGAAGTAAAAGTGGATGTGAGCATACACTGAGCAGCCTCTATGCCTTTTGTAAGGTCCAAATAAAGGGGAGTGATTCCCTCACCTCATTAATGTCGACATGCCCGTAGGGAGGCTTGCGGTGACGGTACATCCAGAAGGCCAAGAGGATGGCCACGGAGAGGACAGCGATGGGGAGCAGCGAGTACACCAGGATGTTGAGCAGGGAGGGTGTTGGCGGTGGCGGCTCGTATATGACTGCAAGAAAAGAGCAGGGTAAACGAGCGAAAGGACGCTTCAGGCGTGCGACAGCACTGTCAGCTACACATCCAGATGCAACCAAACCCCATCCTTCCTTCTACGCCCAAGTTGACAATGCTTAGTGGCATGTCCCATCACATCCCAACAGTATTCATGAGGCTCTGCGGTTTCCTCTTTTCCATATGGCTATTAGTAATGGAGTTGCAATGGTCCAAACCACACTTTGCAAGCCAAGCCTCCATCTGACCTTTATTTAAGATGGGTATTTCTTGCTGGGATACATAAAAGCAGAAAATTTCCTCCTCTTAACCCTTCCGAATGTATTAAGCAAGCATGAAATCCCTCACAGTGTTGCTGTGCCTTTTACAGTGATTGACAAGATGTCAGTTTTTAGTAAAATGCTGCCGGAGCCACAATCAAATGCACTATTCCCACAGTAGTTCTTGTTCCAAATTACATCAGTGCAGTTGAGACACAAACAATGGGAATACTAAATGGAGCCATGTTGCTATGTTGGAGACAGGGAAGGAAAAAATAGCAAGACTTGCCAAATTAAACAAAAAACTGTGAGAGAAAGAATATCTGCTACTAGGTTGCTACGGGTACATTAATAACAGGAGATAAAACCCATGTAAACAATTAAAAACTTAACAGGAAAGCCTAGGAAAATCTGATAATGGTCTATTGGAACATCTCTGTAAATGTAGGTAGTTGATAGCAAAAGAAACCATCCTAAGGAAAAGAGCCACCTGCTTTAATAATTTTTATTGAATGATACTTTAGTAAGCATACAGCTAAAACAATCATCATTATTCTGTTAGCCTCTGAAGAAGGACATGCTATTACTTTTCCTCCTTGAAGTATATCCACAAACTCTGAAAGCTGACATGAACACCCATTCCCTTTCAATCCCCAGAACAACAAAATAGCAATCAAATGCAAAAATCCTAGATGCTCAAGGCATTTGGAGACCTGCAACCTATGAAAATTAATAAAGAAGGTGCCAAATACCTTTTAAGAGTTTGACTCTTGTTCCATGCTGTATACAGCACTCTGCCCTCCTCCCCTCGTGCGGGATTTTGTTTTGTAATATCCCACTGTGAACACCCACCATAAAGAAAACCTAATCCTTAGTGATGGTATCTGAGGGGTTAGTACAACACACTTTACCCACAGAGTGAAACAACCTTAAAAAACGACTCTTAAAGAACCGCAGCAAAAGGATTTCTGGACTTTGTAACCAAAATGGTACTTTGTGTCCTGTTGGATGTAGTTTTTTGCTCAACATCCAAGAACTCAAAGTCATCGCAAATTGGATCTAGAGGAAGAGATCCCAACTCCCCATCCACCCAGTCACTCACCTTCTGGGCCGGTGACTTCAGGCAAATGGGTAAATTTCTCATTGCAATAGTTGCCCTCGCAGCAGCAGAAAAACACTTGAGGGTTTTCTTCTGTGGCTACACACTCCTGCCTGCATCAAGGAGGGACAGACAATGAAGGGAAGAGAAAAAACATGAGCCAACTCCTGCCTCTTGTCTTTGGGAGCCGACCTGCCCCAAATTGTCTTCTCCATGCACCTTCTGCTGCTGCACCGCACAGATCAGCAATCTCCACTTACGGAAAACAACTTGGCACTCAAATACTCCAGTGGATAGCAAAGACCCTTGAAAAGACCGTAAAGGAAACAAATGCTTCCATATGTACTGAAGGCATTAGATGGTGAGTAATAAATAACAGCCGCTGCCGCTAACTGAATGAGAAGCAGAAGAACGATGGAGAGATGCCTCACTCCCTGAACAGTGTCTTTCCCACAGCCCATATGTACGCTGTCAGGGGAGAGGAGTATTTGATCATGCAATTAAAGTTTGTAACATAAAGCACATATGACGAGGGCTGAGCTAAGACTGCTCTCACAGCCTTGAGCATCACTTAACTCTACGCACTAGAAAGGCACCAGACAACAGCAGCAACAGCCCTGCCGCAGGTTTGGGGTTGTTTTTTGTTTGTTTGTTTGTTTGTTTTTTAAGTTTAATTTCCAAGTGCCATCTCCTTCTCCTTTAAAAAACCTATTCCTGCACAAAAGTCTTTAAGAAAATCAGGTTGCTGCTCTCATTTTTCTGTATTTGCCTGTTATCCAGGTACCACTACAGCCTTCTCAGCACTGAGGTTTCCTTCCACACCGTGCACTGGGACTTCCACAGATCAGCCAACTCCACTTCCACACATCCTCCCTCTCCCACAGATCAATGCCAAAAGAGGTGTGCAGTGATTTTTGCAGTGCTCTAGCAGTCATTTCTTTCTCTTTCTTAAATGCCTGCTTCCTTTCCCTGCCACCTTTTGCTACGTTACCCTCCGCTTTTAGTTATTAGGGTTGCAGAACTGCTCTCCGCCGAGAACTGGATCAAACTATTTCCTGAAGCCCAGCTAAATTATATGCATGACTTCCTTCCTTCGACCACTCGGAGGAAGTAGCAAAACAATCATACGTGTTTGACATTATTACTCATTTATGAACCCATGCCAAGCCTCCCTTTCTGTGGTATCACTGACATACTGCCACGAGAAGAACGGAAAGGGCTCTCTTCAATCATAATGCAGGGTAGTTTTCACCGCTTTATTCCTTTTGGGGGAAAAAAGCAGCTATAGCTGAAATGTCTCCTGCGAGGTCTCAGCTGGGAAGCACTTGATTTGTTTTTCAGGCTTTTATTTTTTTAAACTTCAAAGAAAAAAAGCAGCTATTTGACTTATTCAAATGAACAATGATGTTTCAACAAGTTAAGCAATGTTTCCAGATGCTTTTTCGTGAAATCGGATAACAAGCCGTTTGGATTTAACAGCATCAGTATTGGAGTCTTCAACAGAAAACACATCCTTTGCTAAATCTGTTGGTTAAGAAATCAAGCTAATGAGTGAAAACAGCCTGCTCCGCATCTGCAATTCATTATCCCTGTCTTTGAGTTAGTGTGTGCTCAGGGCAGCCATCCAGGTATATATGACATGTTATACTTAGCAAATATTACAAATGAGACAGTGGGAGAGAATGACACATTTTTCTATGGCAGAAAGGGCATGTTTCTTAGTGGTTCACATGCTCTTCAAGGCAACATGAATACACCTCTCCAGTGGGGCTGTGTAAATAAACGAAGAGCTTTTTTAAACACTACCTTTTCCTATAACCTTAAATGTACATGTGCCACATTCTCGTTTCCTTAAGATAAAGAACAGAGTAAGGAGCCATCACTCTCAATGTCCCAGTCTTTCCACTCCTGAATTTTTCGCCTTCCAGCAACAAGGAGACAGCACTTGGCACGTACCAGGACGTACTGCCCGTGCTCCAAGAGGAGCTGCAGCCTGGCAGAATAGGACCGTGTCCTGCATCCAGGGGACACTTGTGTAGATGCAGGTACAGGTGCATCTCCTGAGGCTGCACCCAGGAGCTCGACATCCAAAGGTGCTGAAGACAGAGACAAAAAGGGCATTGGCACAGCACTGTCGATCAAAAAATCATCTTTTTTATCCATTTTTGCCATCTTGGGATGCAACACTACCCGCATGAAAGACTGCCAAGGGCACTCAAGGGAAGGGAAAAAAAAAAACCCTTAAAAAAGACTGCATTTAAACAGTCTTTATTTAATTCAAGCTAACCTTTATTTCAAATGTTGCTTTCAACACTTGTACTGTGTTAATTCTCAGAAGATCTTTTAGCTTTGCCCTGGAACTGCGGCTTTGAAGAATCAGGCTGCAGGATAATGGATGCTCAACCCCAGGGCTGCAAAAAGGCTTGTGAGGAGCCCTGGAAACTTTTTACCATTGCAACAGAGCAACACATTATGACAAAGTTTAAGAACCACTACATCCCTGCACAGAGACACTCAGTGACAATACAAGTGTCACTGTATATGAGAGCAGGCACTGAAAGGAGAAATCTGTTTACAGTAAACACTTCTGCTTGGAAGTAGGAAACTACAGTGACCTTCTGTTCTCAGAAGGATCGGCATTAAGATGACTAATGGGCCAAGGAGGATTGATTTATTGGGAAAGAATAAAAATTTAACTATATATAGAGCTTGGCTACGCAACTGGCAAGGGAATAGGTGCGGTGGGAAAGTAACCCCAGCGCTAATAATAGAACGAAGATGAGGAAAGACTCACAGTCGGGATAAGCTAAGACAACGGCCACAAAATCAGCGGTAGTGTACAGCACTGAAGGGAGAAAGTTCTCCAGCCATGGGACAAATCTAGTCCCAGCTTAAGCCCCACAGCTTAGGACCTGCCGTCCTAAAACTTTTGGAATGAGAAGCTACAAAGATGCGCAGCTGGGAACTGCACCAAGGTGAGATCAACCTATACTGGTGCTCTATCAAGGGAAATCCTTTAATTTTATGTTCTGTTAATCCTTATGGAAAGGGTTGGGTTCGGGCTGGTTGGCTGGCCATTGGGGGTTTTTTAACAGAAACACTGATTCTAGAGCTACTGAACATTGTCCTTTTAAACAGTGAAACTTCAGAGGGCTATTTTCTTTAGCTGTAATTCTTTTCCCCTCTGCAGAATTTCATCAAGGGACATGACAAAAGACTAGTTTATTTTCCCAGCTATTTAATGAGGCTGAAGCCTTCGTACTACAAAGCCTCGCTCCTTTTCAGCTCGCTAAATGCAGCGACACACAAACACGCGTATTGCTTTTGCTGCCTCGCTCTTTCTCCTGGCCCGTCTCTTACCTCAGCTGAAGAGCAGTGAAACTTTTTCCAACATCACAAATGCCAGAATATCTCAACCTCTAACCACCCCCAGATATCTGTGCTTTGCTAGAGAGCTCCAAATGATTCCAAGTTTTCCTTTGTATCGCCAAATGCTCTTGGAAGAACATATTGCTCTTCATTTGATGGTACAGGACACGTTTTTCAACGCATGCCAGAATTATCAAGGCTTTGCTAAGGAAAAAAAAAAAAACCACAACAAAAAACCCTAAAAGTGTCTTTTGCAGCTTCTATTTAGAAAGTCAAGGCAGATAAGTGACAATTCTGAGCGCAGCATTAGCAACAGAAGTAATTACAGCGGATGAATGGCCCAATTGACTTGGACTTGCTTTCTTTTCCTCGATGCAAAAATCATGAGCCTTTACACTTAGAGGAACAATTAAACCTGTATTCAGAAAAACCAGTTAGGCTATTACCTGTCATAACAGTTGAAGTCGTCTAACCAGCAGCCTTTCTTCACCAGCTCAATGGAGCCCGAGTTGTTTCTCCAGGAGGCGTAGCAGTGGAGCCGCTTGTCCTTCTCCCCCTCGCAGCGCTCCACGCCGCTCTGGTTGGTCTTCTCCAACTCCCAGTTGGCGTTGTAGTAAATGCATTCCCTTGTCTCAGCCTCCCCATGGCCTGGTCCTGAAGTAAAATCCAAACCCCAAGTACATTCAAGCAAAATCAGAAATGGATCCCGGAAAACAGATCTTCGTGTGGCTATGCTTTAGGTGATGCATACAATTGCCTCACTAGAAGCTAAGCAGCTCATTGATGTGAGCTTCAGCATGGTGTAGAGGGTTAATTTCCTTTGCTGGTATGAGGTGGGGAATGGAGAGGTCAGGTTTGCCTCCGCTCACAACCGGAGCTCATGGTGAAGTCAACAGCCCAGCTGAGAACCCCCCCAGGTCTCCTCTGGCCAGTGCTTCAACCGCAGGACCCTAACAGGGGGATGTATAAGGCAACCCGTACCCAGTATTTTCTAACCACAGAAACCCTGTTTAGGAAAGACAAACTCACAGGGTGCTACTTGCCGCTTGCTGGGATGTCACACAATGGAGTTACCCACTCTCTCCACCACTATTTTGGGAATCACCACCTAAAAATAAATGGTTCCTTACACGGGTAGGATGTGACTGAGGATAGATAATATTCATTCTACAGAGGAGGGCCAGACCAGTGCCTATTCCTCGCTTAGATCCCAGTTCAGGCTTATCTGGGTAAGTCTTCATATGATAAAAGCCATGTTTTTAGCTGTAGTTGAAACAGTTCACACCGCCTCTCCACCCAAGCAAGACCTTCAGCAAAAAGCAACAGTTTCCTAAACAACTCTGGCCACCCCAAATGGACGTTTGGCGACAACAAACAAAGGAGTCTCCATAGCCTGTGGGTCTTTCCCCCTTTAGAGCCTTGTACCAAAGGACTGAGGAACTCCTACTGCCCCAAGTGAAACAATTCCCCCATAGACACCATGGCACAGAACTGACACACGATTACAGACACATCCACTAAAAATAGAGTTAAGTACTGGAACACTGATATCTGCAGGTGACCTGTTTTGCCCTAAGCCTTAGAAATCCTCTCTTCATTTGGAAATATTCTACTTTGTGGCATTTTGAAGATTAGTTTAAAATGAGAAGAATGAAACAAACACAGGACAGGTAAGCAGACAACCAGAAAAGGTACCATGAAGCTCATGATTTCATAAATACTGAGATGCCATGCAGCAGCCGTCTCTCTTTGGGATTACCCAACCTAAGGCAAGGTCAGACCTGGCCATTATTTTGATGGATTGCAATCATGGAAAATGCAGGTATCCCAATAAAATGTGTTGACAACTGGGTAGAAAACACAAATGGGTCCCACAGGATGGTGAAGTGAAAGTGCTGTGCTCCCAGAACAGCCAGACCTTTGCAAAGCACGGCACTAAGTTTCTGGCTGGAAAATCTTGCAGTGCTTTCATGACTCTATCTTCTCCAAAGGCCATGAAACCTTTAATGTTGAGGTTAAGGCAGCCAGGGCCATGTCTGGATGATCTAAATGCAACCCAGCCTATGATTCCCACTCAACATGACAAACCAGGTCTCTACAAGGTGATGCAATTTACTCCTCATAAGACACTGAGCAGCGAGTGGTTTACAACCAGCAAAGAAAACACCCAGCCTGGGCACAGGCACCAGCTCCAGGCCCCAGATACCTTCTGCAGCTTCGGCCTTTCCAGACCTGAACACCCATCCACTACAGATGTCTCAAGTACCCTCACAACACCCAGCCAGAGAAGGGAACATTACTTCCAACTGAAGATCCAACATGCCAAGATTAAACAACTTGTCCCAAGTGAGCAGGATGCTGGGGGGAGCCTGACCTGCCTTTCCACAGCCTGCAACACCTCAAGTCACCAAGTCTCCAAGCTGTTAGCTGGTGGCAGAATCTGCCTCCAATTTTGCAGGGCATGGAGAGCCCTTTAGAGATGGCACTTGAGCTAGAGATTGCACTCAAGTTATTCAATGTAGCCTGATCTGCTGTAAGGAATCAACCTTCTGCTGCCAACAGGCATCAAGCAAGGAATGCAGATGACCTGGCATGGAGCAGCAGTGGAACTGCAAGAAGGTTGCAGAAGAAACCATGGTTTCAGCACAAGCTAGGTGTGATGTGTCCAGCCTGCTCCTGATACCAACACCGGGACTCAGCGATAGGTAATTTTTACGGTACAGAGCAAACTCATCAGACTAGGAAGATCTCTTTGCAAGTTGAAGAGGTGTTCAATCCTTTGATAACTCTTTTTTTTTTTTTTTGCGGAAGAATGTTTAATCTGCATCGTGGGAGAGACTGCAAAGGAGGAGGGGTATGAGAAAGTCATAAAGCTGACTTCTGAAACTGGAAATTATATTCAAAGCACACATGAACAAGAGCTCAATTTCAATAGCACCTGCAGGTTTTATCGGCACTTGCAAAGCTCCATCTGAGTTTTTCTCTGACAAGTTGCTTACTATAATAAAAACAACCTACCAATATCCCTCAACACAGAACAGTGTCAATATTGACACTCCTTGTTAAAGCCTTGATATTTGTTCTCTTGATACTTACACCACGCTTTGTCAGGGCAGATTAAGCATTTTTGCTAAATACTGGTTAAATCAGGAAAGCAAAGGAGCATTGTCTTGTGTGCGGAGAGGGCAATATCTTTTTATTTATAAAGGAATAAGTAAATATCTTAGCTTCACTGTAATACTTCACATAGCTTCCAGCTGATACTTGATAGCTAATACTCACTATCACCTTCTGGTCCAGTCCTTGAAATACATTTTGTAATATCATTTCCATCATCCCAAAGCAAATCTCACTTTTGCTCTAGATGGAAATTTCCTCTCCCTCCCCAACCTCATCTCCCAGAAAGCAGGAAGGTTTAATGAACCATTTGCCTGGGAAGCAGCCCCAAAACCTAATCCTGGCTCAGCCTCCTCTCCCTGTAACCTCGAGCAATATTGCATAGCCTCTGTTTTCTCCAGTTGCAACAAAGACCAATGCAATGCACAAAGCTGTGGTGAGATTTGATGTTTCTCTACTGTGCTTTGAAAAGGAAATGTTAAAAAGATGTGAAGCAGGAGCTGTATCGACTCTGGGACCAGCAAACCAAGGCTGCTAAATCCTGTGCTGAGCCGAGGCTCCCTTCCCCCAAGAGAGTTGTCTTTTCTGGAATAAGTTTCAGCTGAAGACTAAGATCTGCTTGCAAACACACAAACCCAACTCTGCAAACAGCAACAATGCCAGGAAAAAGGTCTTTCACAGTTTTTCCCCTGCTGTCAAAGTTTAGATGAGTTGAATAAAAGCATGTATAAAGTTTTGGGTGACTAAATATATGTATGCTTTCCTTACATCAGCTCCTAAGCATGCTCGCGTTAAAGAGACACTTTAAAAACCTGTGTGTTTGCTACCTGCTTTCACATCTTTTTAAAAAGCCATTTGGTAAGGATCCTCATCCTGCTGGGTGCTCAGAAGTGCAAGAAAGCCTTCTGTTTGCGCCCAAGATGGTCTCAGCAGG